CTGATTGAAAATGAGATGTTCTCCTCGCTCACACAGGCGGCCACGCTCAGCCATGTAAGTGTTCCCCTCTGCTGGCAAAGTTAATGAAGCCGTGTCCTGTGCCTGCTGGGTGCTTTCCGTGCAGCAGCCTTATGCTGTTGGGTGATGCAGCTCCTTAATGGAGCTTCTGCCAGAGGAGTCCTGGTAATGATTTTCACGGCCTCCTAGGCCTGGCTTCGTGGATGTTGGGCCAGCTTCACTAGACCACAGCTGTCCTGGTCAATGGTTTGGAGAGCCTAGTATCCCTCAAGGACTTTCTCTTCACTGTGCAAGGCCATGACACCTCCTGTGTCATGGGGGCTTCTCACCTCCTACCCTCTTTGACACTTAAACAGTAACTGCTGTGTGCCATCGATACCCAGCAAGGATGCCCCACATAAGAACAGTCTGTTTCCTGCTGAGGTTCAGCCAGTGCCGACTCACGGCAAACAGGTACAGCTTTTAGATGTCAGCGGTCACCTGTGGTCACCACAAAGAAAATACCTAGAGAAAATGCAAAAGAAGCAAACATTCAAATGTTTCCCTCCAAAAACCTATGAAATCGCAATAGCGGCAATAATGCAAGGAAAGGAAGTGAGGGGCCCCAAAACGAAAAGGCTATGCAAATCAAACAGAACATAAGAAATTGTAATTTTTACAGATTTATTCATTTCTATTGGAAAGTCAGACATACAGAGAGGAGGAGAGACGAGACAAAGATCTTCTGTCTGTTGATTCACTCCCCCAAGTGGCCGCAATGGCCAGAGCTGAGCTGATCCGAAGCCAGGAGCTAGGAGCTTCTTCCTGGTCTCCCACGCGGGTTCTGAGGCTTTGGGCTATCACAGACTGCTTTCCCAGGATCCAAGCATGGAACTGGATGGGAAGCAGGGCTGCCAAGATACGAACCAGTGCCCGTATGGGATCCCGGCATGTGCAAGACAAGGACTTTAGCTGCTAAGCCACTGTGCGGAGCCCAGAAATTGTTTTAAGAAAGAAGTGGCTTAAAGACGCCAATCAAAAATGGTAATTAAAAAAATATACCCATAAGGATGTAGAGAAAAGCAAAGCCCAGAACTCCTTGGGAAGGAATGAAAATTAGTACACCCTTTATGATATCTCAATAGGAATTCCTAAACAACAACAACAACAAAACTATAAAGAGAGCTTCCAAGATGTCCCATTCCTGGAAATATACAAAGGAGATGAAGCCAGGATATTAAAAAGATCCTTGCACTCCCATATCCAGCCCAGTGGACGCCAATTCATAATTGCAGACATGGGCTCAACCTGGGTGTCCATCAACTGATGACTGGAAAGGACAGGTGGCATGTACTCAATGACAAGTCACTCAGCTATACACAAAAATGCTGACATGGGCGCCAAAACAGATGAAACAGGACATCATGCTGCCAAGCGAAATAAGTCACACATGGAAAGACAAACTGCACATTTTTTTTTTTTTTGGTCTCATCTGCGGAAGGTAATATATAAAAACATGCTTTCCTGAGGCACAAGGCAGCCACGGCCTTCCGGCCCCATGGGACACTAGGGATGTAGGAGCGATCCATCTTTGTCCAGGTTCCACAGAGACGCTCCTCCCGCGGCCTAGAGAGGCCGCTGCGACGCACTTCCGGTGTCGGATTCCCAGAGGAGCCCTGGATGCTGCGCTTGGGGCGCATCTCACGCATCTCCCTTGCACCTGCCCGGGAGCTCCCCGACCTCACGGTGAGCAGGGCCGGGGGCCTGGGGAGGGAAAGGAGCGCTTCCTCAGGCTGAGGGCGCTGGCGGAGGCTTCTGGGGAGGAAGACTCTCCAGGCCTGGATTGCTGCCTGAGCCTGGCACACTTGGCGGCTGCCCCGCCAGGCTCACAGCCTTATCCCGGGGAGGCGTTGGGCAAGATGGCAAAGTGAAGGGAAGAGCGAGTGAATGTTGACCGAGTGCTGGGCTTGAAGTGCTGAGGCGGCCCCTGTCTCAGGCGCATCACCCAGCCCACCTGCGGCTCAGCCAGCCCCAACATGGGCATTTCTGTGCATACTTTGGGGGGCTTCACCGCAGGATTCAGAACAAATATTGTCTGATAGCGGTATCTCAACAATTCAAGCTACAGCTATTAAGATTGGACACATGGGGCCAGTTTGTGTGTCCGCCAGTGTGGGAGACTCTCCCGGTCAGTCTTGAGTTTAACGTGAAAACTGATTTCTCTAGGGTGAGTGTTTAATCCAACAGTGAAGACGCTGCCCATTCCTGCTAGAACAAACCTTAGCAGGCCTGGTGTTGGCTCCCGTGACTGGGTTCTTCCAACTCCTGTGGGAGACCCAGATTAAGTTCTTGTCCTTGGCTCAACTCAGTCCCAACCACTGGATACATTTAGGAAGTGTGGGTCATCAGACAGGAGCTTTCTCTCTCTCTCTCGTTTTTCTGTATCTCAAAAAGATTAATGCAAGTATTTTTGAAATAAGAGGTTTTTTTAAAAAGATTTATTTTTATTGGAAAGGCATATATGCAGAGAGGAGGAGAGACAGAGAAAAAGATCTTCCATCCTCTGGTTCACTTCCAAAGTGACCACAACAGCCAGAGCTGTTCCGAAGCCAGGAGCCAGGAGCTTCTTCCAGGTCTGCTACATGGGTGCAGGGTCCCAAGGGCCTGGGCAATCCTCCACTGCTTTCCCAGGCCACAAGCAGGGAGCTGGATAGAAAGCAGGACCTCTGGGACACGAACCTGCACCCATAAGGGATCCTGGCATGTGCAAGGCGAGGATTTTAGCCACTAGACTGCCACACTGGGCCCTGAACTAGTTTTGAATTTGATATAAAGAATGATCCTTCATTTTTTCAGCTTTCATTTCTTTGATTCCCACAGAGCTAGATCTTGTTTTAACGTATCTATTGGCTTCCTGTAAATTCTTGGTATATTGTAATACTTTCTATTTTTCTCTTCATCTTTTTCCTTTACTCCTGTGTATAATACTAACTAGTCCTGGCTTGTCTTTTAATTTTATTTATATTTTAAATATGCTAAATATTAATTTTTCTGTGGCCAGATTCATCAATTTTTGTCCTTTGGAGCATTTGGGTTTTTTGTGTCTTGGTTATAGGTGTTTCTCCTAAACCTACAATGAGTAATTAATTCATCAATATTTTGTTATTTTGTGATTGCATCTTTTATGAGTGTATTTAACACTTCCGAGCGTTGAGGCGTGTTTTGGTGTATGGTGTGATGTGGGAATCTCACTGTCTTCTGTTTTTCTCACAGTAATAGCAATAGTCTCAGAGTAACTTACGAGTAATCTATTTGATGATTAGAAATGCTGTTTTTACCAGATATTTGTATCTCCTCAGGGACTAGCAATTTCATGTCAAAAGCCAGAGTCCAGCTTCCTGTTGGGGATGTACGCTGACCCACTGTATGCTGTGCTTGCTGCCTGCATTAGCACATTAAATCCATTACTGTTACTCCCCTCTCCCCCCACACGGTACTTCCCCTCTCACTGAAGGTCAGTGTCCTCACTCAAGCCAAAGACCAGGCAGTCCTTGACCTGGCTTTCTCTTCTCTCCTCCCCTGACACTCATCTACTCTCCTTACTAGGTGGAGGAAACAGCCTCCCCAGGGACCTTCCAACAGCCACCCCCACCCCTCACAGTCTGTCTCTGCTACTGAGGGCAGAACTCAAAAACTGGTCACATCTATCTATCAGGCCTTTTAAAATCCCATTCCTCACTGCTTGCTTGCGTTTGGGGGAAAAGTTCCTAAAATGGCTTGTGGAGCTCTGTGTCTGGCACCCAAGACTTCATCAGCCTTAGCAGTTCTGCATCCTTGCGGATCTTGATTTGTGGGTTCTGTTCCCTCCCACTGATGTGTTCTCCCTTTTGACCTGTCTGGGTGCTGTTTGTCCCTTCTTCAAAGGGGCTGGATGTCCCAGAAGTTGGGAACTAAATTAAATCTCTTCTGCATTGCATTCTGTAGCTTCCCAGCTTCCCTAACTGCCGTGTTGGAAATTGCTGGCTTAATGTCTTTGTCTCCAGCTAGGACCTACAAATCAGGCAGCTGCAAGCATTGTGTGACATTTTCCTCTGGTACCTGACACTGGCTGTACACAAACCTTGCTGTGTTGCATGAGGCTTTGTACCCAAAGAGTCCCCTTTATGCACATCTGGGGGAAGGGATCAGGAAAGCCAGATGGGTTTTTCCTGAGCCTTCGGAGAATCCCAAGGCGCCCACCATGACATGTAATCCAAGCTCGTTCTATTTGCCCATCCTTCGGGGTTGCCTGCGTGGCCCTCTTCCTTGGCCTGAGGCATAAGGTTCTGGTTCTCACTACAGAGTTCCATGGAGAGGGACTTGTAGATGGACAGCAGTGACTTTGATAATTTAAACATCGGGGTGTAAGGAAATTCTTCTGTACTGTTTTGGTGACTTTTTTTTGAAAATCAAAAATTAGTTCCCAAAGTATATATATTTTAAGATAATGTAGCCTGAACTTCTACTGAGCTGCACGTGAAGGCACACTGTGTGATTGACGTGACGTGTGGAAGACGTCACTGTGTCTCTAGTTTATGTTGGATAGAAAGGGTCCCTGAATCCCCTCCCAGTCATATCACATGCGGTAGAAGCAGTTTAATCAGACAGTGCGTTAGCCTTGCTGAGAGGCCATTTTCCCAGTATGACGGATTTACTTTTTATGTTATGAGAGAGAATGTTCCAATCCTTGTCATCTTTATCGTCGCGAGGAGAAAAATAACATTCTGATCTGTTCAACAGTATGTCAGTCTGTCTGAGCCTGTCACTCCCGGGACAGCTGATGGATGGAGGGAGTGTGTGACCCTCGAAGGTTCTGCTGCTTGCTGATTTGATCACACCTCGCCACCCTGAGAGGTACGCCGTCGGTCATCAGATGGCCTTACTGACCCTAGGTCACGTCTCTGTCTTGTGGTTTCTGTTCATTGGTATGGTTATTTCTCCCTGTGAGCAGGGCTCCCGGTTCTTGAACCCCGGAGGTGTTTTCCCAGCAAAGCCCAGAGAAGATCGGTAGATGTGGAATATGCAAGGAGCTGAAGAGCTTGGAGAAGAGACTTGTGCAGGTGAGTGAAGGAGGAACAACTCATAGGAGACACAGGCTGATGGTAACCTTAGATGTTTCAGGAGGGAAATGGAATGAAGCTTAGGAGATAAGCTGCCTGTCATACAGGGATGACGGGGCAGGTCTGGGTCCACTTTCCCCACTCCTCATCTTGCCCCTCCCATCCCCCAGGTTTTCCTAACATTAACTCATTGACTCCAGACCACCACTCTCTGTCCTGCCCGAAGCTTGTCCTGTGTAATCTTCGCTGCTTCCCCTTCATCTGTATCACCTGTGGTTCTCTTACCCCCTGGATGGCTAGTGCCCTGTCAGATGGGAGGGGTGGGGTTCCTCACTGATGGTGACCACGTGACCCTGATGCAGACCTCCCCAACACATGCAATGCTAACTTGCTTCTGTTGGCCCTCACCCATGTGCCATCCCTGAGCCCTATCTGGGGACCCCAAGTGCAGGGCCTTCACTGTACCCTGTACCAGGGACATTCACTCCAGTGGGTTTTTTTTTTTTTTTTCAGGCTGGGTGAAAAATCCTGGTCCTAAGCAAGATCTCTCAGCAATTGGCTCAACAGGGATCCTAGCAGAGAGAGTCCAAGAGGATTACCTGGATTCCACAGCAGAAGAAAAATGCACATGTGAGGGCATGAAGGAAAACTCTGGAAAGGCTCCAGCGTCATGCCTTTTCCAGAAAGGGGGTTTTGAGGGAATAACCTTCCTTCACAAGGAAGCACCCCCTGAAATGATGAGGCAAGAATATCATCTCGAGAAAAACTTGCTTTTGACCTCAAGCCTTGTGACACATCTGCGGGTTTCTACAGAAGAAAAGGAGCATCGATGGGACGCCAGGAGCATATGTACCAGTGCGATGTCAGGCCAGAGTCCGTGTCCAGCTCCGTCCACGCACAAGAAATCTTGGCAATGTCACGACTGCGGGAAAACCTTTACTCAGAGCTCATCCCTCACCCTGCATCAGAGAACGCACGCCGGGGAGAGGCCGTATGCATGTGAGCAGTGTGGGAAAGCCTTCCATCGCAGCTCTTTCCTCGTTCAGCATCAAAGAATGCACGTCGGAGTGAAGCTGTACCGGTGCGAACAGTGTGGGACAACATTTCGTTGCCAGTCATTCCTTGCCCAACACCAGAGAAGCCACACTGGGGAGAAACCTTGTAAGGGCGAGGAGTGTGGGAATTCTTCCAGCAACCAGTCACATCTTGTGGAACACCAGAGACTCCACGGCGGAGAGAAACCTTACCAGTGTCATCGATGCGGGGAGTCATTCCATCAGAACACGCACCTTACCCAACACCAGAGAAGCCACACCGGGGAGAAGCCTTACTCATGCCATGAATGTGGCTCCGCTTTCCGCAAACACTCAAACCTCATGCAGCATCAGAGAATTCACTCAGGGGAAAAGCCCCATAAATGTGACCAGTGCGGGAAGAGTTTCCAAACGAAGGCCAACCTCTCTCAGCATCGAAGGATCCACACCGGGGAGAAACCCTATCAATGCAAGGAATGCGGCAAGGCCTTCTGTCAGAGCCCATCTCTTATTAAGCACCAGCGCATCCACACAGGGGAGAAACCCTACAAGTGCAAAGAGTGCGGGAAAGCTTTTACTCAGAGCACGCCACTGGCTAAACACCAGAGAATCCACACAGGGGAGAGACCCTACAAATGCAGCGAGTGTGGCAAAGCCTTCATCCAAAGCATTTGCCTCATTCGGCATCAGAGAAGTCACACGGGAGAAAAACCCTATAAATGCAACGAGTGCGGCAAGGGTTTTAACCAGAATGCCTGCCTCACGCAGCACCTGAGGATCCACACGGGAGAGAAGCCCTACACGTGCCAGGAGTGCGGGAAAGCCTTCGCGCACGGCTCCTCGCTCACGGAGCACCGTCGGACGCACACCGGCGAGAAGCTGTACAAATGCAGCGAGTGTGAGAAAACCTTCCGCAAGTACGCGCACCTCAGCGAGCACTACAGGATCCACACGGGCGAGAAGCCCTACGAATGCATTCGGTGTGGGAAATTCTTCAGACATAGCTCAGTCCTCTTCCGGCATCAGAAACTTCACGCTGGGGAGTGATGCCGGTAGGGACGTTAGGGCAGAGCCGGCGGGGAGCAGGGCTGCGAGGGGTGAGGCAGGTGGCCTTTCGAAGGGGAAGGAGGAAGGCTTCTCGGTGGCTGTACTTTAGAGGAGCCTTCCAGAAGCAGAACCTGGAGTTGAGGAGCGCAGAGTCCATTCCGGGAAGAAAAGGAAGTTCCTGCTTTTCAAACCGCGGCCTCTCCACACTGCGCATGTGCCGGGGGAGGCATCTGTTGGGTTAGCCGTGGGACCCCTTTACCCTTCCTGCTCCTTCCCTTGCACCTGTTTCCCGTGCCCACTGGCTGGCATATCAAGGTGCTTCTGCATACACTGCTCGCTAGTGTGTCAGTGGCGACACTTCTGGGGCAGTGCTGAGTACAAGGGCCTCCGGATGTTTGGGACCACAGTGACCCTGCGGTTGTGAGCGAGGCTCCCGAGCAGCAGGAGTGGTCCCCAGAAGGCAGGGGAGACAGACAAGTGACAATTAGAGTGTCTGCAATCATTCCTTTTTGACAAGATTTTTGCACTTACTTCATTTGAAAGGCAGAGTGACAGGAAGGAAGAGACAGATCTTCCATCTACTGGTTCGCTCTCTAAACGGCCCCAGCAGCCAGGTCTGGGTCAAGCTGAAGCCAGGAGCCAGGGACTCTGTCCTGGTCTCCCACATGGGGTCACCCTCTGCTATGTTCCCAGGTGCATTAACTGGGCTGCAAGCAGAGCAGCCAGGACTTGCATCGGTGCTGCCCTGGGAGATGCTGGCATCACAGGCAGAGTTGCCACAACTCTGACCCCTCCATCTTCATCCACTAAACAAATAAGGGGCAAGGTTACAAGAACTGGGCTGTTTTTTATTTTCAAGCTTGAGAGTGATAGTGCGTTGTGGTGGGGGAGGGAAGATGGGGGAAGGATTGGCTAAAAAGGAAATGGACAATCAAGAGAAACTCTGTGGGGCCAGTTTGTGCGAAGGGAGGCAGATCTGCTGAGAGGACCAGGGCAGCACAGACCCAGCTGCTGTCCAGAGGAGGGCTGGCTTGCCCGGCAGGGAGCCAGCCTCTCTCCAAGCTGCAGGGGACTTTGAGCAGAAACCAGCCAATCACCTTCCCCTGCCCTTGGCCCCAGACGAGCTCTCAAGACAGTGACCTCTCTCAAATCCCCGAAATCCAGTTGTCCACTTTGCTGCCAGCTGCAGCGGTGTTTTATTCTGAAAGAATCTGCATAATTTGCCTTTAATTTCCCCAGTCTTTGTCATGTTCAGAAACCAAGCTTCAGAAAACTGACTGAGGATCACGTCTTTGGTTGGTGTTTGAAATAGCTTCTAAGCCCTGGAGGCTTGCTAGTTGTTCAGTTGGTGACTATTTTTTTTTTAAAGATTTATTTTTATTATTTTTTCATTGGAAAGGCGGATATACAGAGAGGAGAGACAGAGAGGAAGATCTTCCGTCCGATGATTCACTCCCCAAGTGAGCGCAACGGGCCGATGCTATGCTGATCCGAAGCCAGGAGCCTCTTCCGGGTCTCCCACGCGGGTGCAGGTTCCCAAAGCTTTGGGCCGTCCTCGACTGCTTTCCCAGGCCACAAGCAGGGAGCTGGACGGGAAGCGGGGCTGCCGGGATTAGAACCGGCGCCCATATGGGATCCCGGGCGTGCAAGGCGAGGACCTTTAACCACTTGCGCCACCATGCCGGGCCCGACTATTTTTTTTTAAAGATTTATTTTATTTTTATTGGAAAGGCGGATATACAGAAAGGAGGAGAGACAGAGAGGAAGATCTCCCATTTGCTGATTCACTCCCCAAGTGAGCGCAACGGCCAATGCTATGCCAATCTGAAGCCAGGAGCCTCTTCTGGGTCTCCCATGCAGGAGCAGGGTCCCAAAGCTTTGGGCCATCCTCGACTGCTTTCCCAGGCCACAGGCAGGGAGCTGGATGGGAAGCGGGGCTGCCGGGATTAGAACCGGCGCCTATATGGGATCCCATGGCGCTGGGCCCAAGTTGGTGACTATTAAAACCCACTGAGGCACAGTGATTCTGGGATGCTTGGTTCTTTGGAGTGCAGAGTGGATGTTTCCAGAGCAACTGTCTGTAAGCATGGGTATGGATGCGATCTTCTGCACTGGGATGTGGTAGGGCCATCACATTGGCTTTTCCCTCTCTGGCTATGAAGACGATGTTTTCAGTGCCTATCATAGGGGGATTCATAATTGAGAAAGTTAATGCCTTACGTGCAAAAAAAAAAAAAAAGCCCAATGACATCTTCCTGAGTAGTTTACACTCCTGAAAGTATTCTTCCAAAAGCAATTGTCACTGGATTTATGCTTCCTAAGTGAAAAACAATACTGCAGCCTTAATTACTGGGATACAGTATATGTTCAATAAGCATTCCTTTGGTGAATTCATATTTTTTTTAAAAAAAGGTTTATTTGAAAGAGTTGCACAGAGAAAAAGAAGATTCCATTTACTCTTCAAATAGCCATGACAGCTAGGGCTGGGCCAGTCCAAAGCCAGGGGTGAGGAACTTCTTGCAGGTTTCCCACATGGGTGCAGAAGCCCGAGCACTTGGGCCATCTGGTACTGCTTTCTCAGCAACATTAGCAAGGAGCTAGACTGGAAATGAAACATCCAAGGCTTGAAAACTGGCACCCATTTGGGATGCTGGAGCTTCAGGCAGCAGCCTTACCAGCTACCCCACAGCATTAGTCTCCATAGATTTTTTTTTTTAAGATTTATTTTGGGGGTTGGCATCGGGGCTCAACAGGCTAATCCTCCATCTTCAAGTGCCAGTCCCATATGGGCACCATCGTTGCTGGTTTGTGGCCCATCCAGCTCCCTGCTTATGGCCTAAGAAAGTAGTGGAAGATAGCCCAAAGGCCCTTACCTCTGCACCCATGAGGGAGACCCAGAAGAAGCTCTTGGGTCCTGGCTTTGGATCGACTCAGCTCTGGCCATTGAAGCCATTTTAGGAAGTGAAAGAAAGATGGAAGATCTTTCTGTCTCTCCTCTCTTTATCAGAAAGGCAGATGAATTTATTTTATTTAGTTATTTTATTTGGAAGGCAGAATTATAGAAAGAGGGAGAAAAGTCTTCCATCCACTGGTTCGTTCCCCAACTGGCTGCAAACTACTGGGGCTGGGCCAGGCTGAAGCCAGAAACAACTTCTAGATTTCCCAAATGGCTGCAGGGCCCAAACACTTGGGTCATCCTCGGCTGCTTCCCCCGTCACAGCAATAGGGAGCTAGATTGGAAATGGAGCAGCCAGGGCTCAAACCATCACAGGTAGCAGCTTTAGGCACTGGCACAGCTTCAGCCCCCTAGATATTTTAAAATACTTACTGAACTAAACTACAGGCATTTCTACATACCAGCCTCCAGGTGATGACTTTGGTGATATGGCAAGTGCATGCGCTGGTAAGGTTGGTACCAGCTGTAACACTTGTTAACATTTCCCTATGCTATAGCATGTGGCTATATTAAACTGAAGATCCCACAAGAAAATAGTTGTAGCCCAAGGATTTTGGCTACAGAACTGAACAAAGTGCTTTCAGGCTACACTGATGTCAGGGTGGACAGGAATTGGGGAAACACATGCAACGCTACCTAGATCTGCTGGAGGCATGACTGGGCTGAGACGGGGTACTGAAGTGGGCAGGAACTGAGGAACAGCACTGGCCCGGCAGGAGAGCCACGGAGCATAGGTGTCCCCAAGCAAAAGCACTTGCCGAGTTCCTGGCCCGCCTTGGGCTCTGGAATCTCTTGTGCATTCTCAGCGCACCAACATGCGTGGGCTGCAGAAGGGCAGAGTGATGTGGGCCACGTCGGGGAAGCAGGCGCTTGCACTCTCCCAAGGCTACCCAACCAGCTGAGTGCCGCGTGAAATTTCACCTAGAGTTCCCACGGTGGTTGGCATGTCCCTACCTCTGTTCCGTGTGCCTCTGTATTTCGTCTGTTAATTATAGAGTTGGCCACTTGGGGCTCCAACCTTCTGCCCTCCCACCCCCACTTTATAGAGGAATTAGCCGCTTTTTGCCCTCAGAATGGCAGACTGTCTAACAATCACTTTTCACCTCGTGATGTTCAGCCCAGTCGCCGCTTCCACCTGGGGAACCCCAGGTCTAAGATCCTGGGAAATGATTCCGCCTGGGCTGGCTGGCCGGCGAGTGTTGGGGCTGGCAAAGAACTTGCCAACCGATATTAAGCAAACAGCTAAGGGTGGCAGGTGGGAAAACTTAAGAGGAACCGGAGGTTACTGTTCCAAGGTATGTCAAGGGCATCGCGGAAGAGCAGTCGAGATGAAGCCGCTTCCGCATTCCTAGAGAGGAGACCGTGGTGCTGTCTGGCACGGCGGCGCAGGTTGGTGACGTCACTCAGCTGCCCAGGTAACGGAGCGCGGCGAAGGATGCGTCCCGGGAGGCCCTGGTGAGCGGGTTTGGTTGTGCCGGGCCGTCCACGCCACAGGTCGTGTCCGACCGACTACTCCGTGGGACGCGGTGCAGCACATCTGCCCTGCTGGAGTCTTGGAGCAGAGGCCCGGGCCGTGGGGCGGGAACGCCGGGCAGAGCTTTAACATCCTCCCGCAGACAACTGTGGCACACACGGGCAGCTCTTATTGTCTAGGCAACTTTTGTATCCCGAGTGGTGGTAAGAAAACGGGCGAGCTTTGCTATGGGCTCAGCCCGTGCTTAAGCAACTCTCACCTCGGCTGGTAGTTGAGCAAGCACTGTAGTCTCGAGTGGGCTGTGCTTTCGGCTTTCTGCGCTTCTCCCAGGCTTCCCGTCAGCCGGCTGCGTGTCCCTCTGCCCTGAGCTGTGGCCCCACACTTGTTGGGAAGCCAGTAGCTTGCTTGGCAGGTTCAGGGAGCCTGTGGGGTCCAGATCCCCTTCTGTGGATACTTAGTCCTCAGGAGCGTTTGCTCCCTGAGCGCTGACACTTCTTGGAAGTCAGCCCGCCCCCTGGCTTCTGAGTGACTTAGGACAGTTTTTGAGGCTGACAGTATTATTTTTTAGTATATTTAATTTTATTTTATGATACAATTCCATACTCTGGGATTTTCCATCTCCCCCCCACACACACACTGATTTCCCGTATATTATTACAGTAGTAGAGTCCTTATAAGCAGTCATAAGTCCATCATTCTGTTTAAGTGTATCCTGACATTATGGGTACAGACAATGGCAGATGGTCCAACATCCTATTGTCAAGATATGTTTAAGTATTTCATTACAAGTCCATCTTTGATCTTGAAGTAGAGATGCATAGTGCATTGCATTTTCACATCTGGATATGACAGTGTCTATTACACAATTACTCTACATTCCGATAGTGACAGTATTCTTTCATTTAGATTGAAGTGGCTCTTTGGCTGGGCAAAGGCTCTTCTTGGGTTCTCCAGTCCCGCCGGAGAAGGAAGCGGGTGGACAGTTGGTGAGGGGCTCTTCCTCCGTGCCACGGATTCTGCTTTTCCTTAAGGTAAAACCCTCTCTCACTAGTACTGCTAGGGATCCCAACAGCTTACTTCTGGGTCAGAAGAGAGTCCAGGATGGGTTGTTATTCAGCAGTAGTGCCACCACTTGAAACCCCTGCATTCCCAGTGTGCCTGGTTTGAATCCCCATCTAATTTAAGATGCCTGGTTCAAATTTTGATGCTATTATAACCAGCTAAGTGTTTGTCTCCAAGTCTGTGCTTCCTAAGGACTGTCCTGGTGACAATGGGATAGTGCCTTTACAGGTTTTTATAGTGAAGAGACTGTGTTAAGAGCTGGACATTGAGCATAATCCTTTGCTGTAAAGTGACTTTGTTTTCTACACCAAATCTGCCACCACACCACATCCCCGCTGCCTGTCCTAAGTTCAATCAGATTCTGAAATCTGTCTTCAGCTTCGAAGATGAAGGCCCATTGCTGGACCATGATGCGATCATCAGGTCACCTGTGGCTTGTTCTGAATCAACAGTGAAATCTTACTTTTGGTAAACAGAATTGTAAGTTTTCAAATATACCAATTTTCCTATAGATGGGATTTTGGGAGTGGGAGCTGGAAGGAGCTATAGATTGATCGATTACATGATTTACACATTCGTAAGAGACGTAGGACTGTGCTGGTGGAATAAAATGCGGTTTCCAAAGCACAACATAAAGTGGTCTATTAATGTGTGAGAAAGCGTAGTCTCCCCCTGGTGGATTAAGGTCACATCATGCCAACTTAACTATGTTAAAATCCATTCTCAGTTTATCAGACTAATAAAATGCTAGAGCCGAGTGCCAACCCAGGGCTAGCGTACTACTAGCACGGATGAGAAATACTCTCTTATGGATGGTGAACAAGATAGTCAAAGCAGGATTTTCCTGAAGCAATGTGAGAATAAACATCAGTAACTTTACAAATACTTAAATTTGATCCAGTGATTCAACTTCTAGTAGTTCCTCTAAGGAAACAGGATACAGAGACCAGGGGACAGCTTACGTTTGCCAAGTCAGTCCTTCTGTGTCTAAACCCACAGTAGCTTTACAAAGCCGAGCTACACAGCTCCCTTTGTGAGAGTTTGAGAAGTGGCACGTTATCAGCTCCATGCTCACGACGAAGTGCTATTAATGTGGAATGTACAACAGAGGATCTGTTTAATTATGAAGTTAGATGAGCTGTTAATTTCAGGATTTTGAAATTTACTGACATGACAGTAAATGACATTTCAATTTAGACTTAAATTAAGGGGAAAAAAAAGATTTATTTATTTATTTGAAAGAGCTTCAAAGAGGGAGAAATGAAGATCTCTTTGCTGCTTCACTTCCCCCAGAAGCCTGCAACAGCCAGGACTGCAGCAGGCCAAAGGCAGGAGCAAGGAGTTTCATCCGGGTTTCCCACAGTGTTGCAGGGAGCTTAACAGGTGGGTCATCCTCCACGGCTTTCCCAGGCCATTAGCTGGAGCTGGATCAGAAGTGGAGCAGCTGGGACTTGAACTGGTACCCACATGGGACGCTGGCATCCAAGGTGACAAAAGCTTTACCCTCTATGCCACAGTCCTGGCCCCGAGTTTAGATTTTGGAAATGCTCACAATGTAATGTTAAATGAGAAGCCAGAGAGAGAACATATATAATACCTCCTTGATTTTGTTTAAAAACCAGAATTCACATATCAACATATACACACATAAGGAAGCAGAGAGTAACAAAACATTGGTAGGAGTTGGCGTCCGCAGAGCCGGCATTTCAGGCAGAAGTATATTAATGGATATAGTTTTTGAAAATGTTTCCCATGTTTTCTAGTAACTTTGTGATAGGGGAAAAAAAGTTATTTTAAAAGCACCTCAAGGGCGTCTGGGCCCAAATGCTTACTCGTTTTCCTCTTCATTGCCAAAAGAGAGGAGGCTACTGTTTTTGATTTGCTTTTGTGAGTTCTTTTTGACTGAGTCCTGTTTGCTGATTCCGTCATCTGGTGCCTTCTTTTTGGAACTGGCCGTTAAACCGGAGTACTTTTCATCCGAGGGACGCTTAACAGGCTTTCGGTACATGATTCTCCCGTCGGCAGGAGGGGGCTCTTCATCTGGGCGAAAAAACCAGAAAACTTCTTTAGGTCATAACTATAGCATTTTTGCCCTGAAACAGTACAATAAATGGGAATAATGAAAAAGAGCATCTCTAACTTTTAAGGTCAAATAAAATAGATTTTTGATGACTGATTTGTAAACTTAATCACCATTTTTCCCCGCCTTAAACAGGATGCTGGTGCAGGTGTTTGGCACTGTGGTTGAGATGCTTGGGAGAACTACATCCCATCTCCAGGTACCTGGGTTTATGCCCGGCTCTGCTTCTGGTTCCAGCTACCCTAGGGGACAGCAGGTAATGTCCCTTGTTTGTGGGTCCCTGCCACCCATGTGAGTCTCCCAGCTCCAGCTGTTACAGATACTGGGGGAGTGAACCAGTGGATGGAAGATGTGTGTATATACCTCTCTACCTTTCAAAATAAAATAAAAATAAAGCTTAAAAAAAACCCCACAGATATAGGAGCTCCTTTTACATGCATTTGCTTAATCCCCTTAACCCATAAGATAGGAACAAGAAAGTATTATTCAGTTTTTACTGACGAAGAAATAATTTACTCAAGGTTACACATCAGGTTACTGGAAAGACAGGATTTTTTAAAAATTTTATTTTTATTGGAAAGTCAGAGAGGAAGACAGAGAGGAACATTTTCTGTCGATTGATTCACTCTCCAGGCGGCCACAACAGCTGGAGCTGAGCCGATCCAAAGCCTCTTCTAGGTCTCCTACACGGGTGCAGGGTGCCAGGGCTTTGGACCCGACTCGATTGCTTTCCCAGGCCACCAGCAGGGAGCTGGATAGGATGTGGGGCTGCCGGGATTAGAACCGGTGGCCATATGGGATCCCAGCATGTGCAAGTTGAGAACTGTAGCTGCTAGGCTAATGCGCCAGGCCCAAAAGACAGTTTTTCAATCTAGGCCTGTCTGCCCTCAAACATTCTAAGCTACTCATTCCATCAAAGAAAACAATTTCATATTCCTGGCCCCTTAGACCGCAGGAAAAAAAAAAACAGATGGCTTTCAGACATACCTGCTTTGGCAGCCTTGATTTCCGCCTTGATTTTCATGACCTCTTCCACGGACAGGTCCCCCTTTTTCAAAACCACCACCTGGGGCTGTTCGTCTTCCTTGTCACTGTGCTCACCATCCTCCTCAGGCAGCTGAGGCTGGATGCTCTAGGGGAACACACAGAGTGTTGGGAGTAACTCTGGAACCAGACCTTGCCGTGCTGGGAACACGGCGCTGGTGGGGGAGACAAGGGGGCCTGTGCAGCAGAACTCACTGCCACCTAGACAGGACCCTTGGGTACTGTGACCAGGACTGAGTTCTCTGCCTTGGGCACTGGGGTCACGCCTCGTCTGCTCAGGGCAGTACCAAGCCACATTGGTCCCCTTCTGCCTCCCTCTCCTGTGAAATTTAGACAAGAAAAAAAAATCATAAACCACCACACCACCACCAAAATACAAAAAGCAGCAAGAGGGACCTTTGTCCCCTCTCTGCCAGTCTGAGCTGACGGATATCCTTCAGCCGTGGTCTTGGGGCTGGAGTGGGGACTTCAGGGAGTTCATGGGAAGTACATCTTCCGGAAATAGTTATACATGGATTTCAAACAACTTTGGCACCAAAATAAATGTACGCGCACTTGCCTAATATGCCTAAACGGGACGTAGTGTGAGGCATTAAGAGGGTTAAGCCGCGTTTCCAAGCAGCTCCCAGCAGCAGTAAGAGCTCCCACTAACACCGAGCAGGAATTGATGATGGAGCTGGGGGTGAGTGCTGAAACCGCCGACGTCAGCGGGTGACAGGTGGGGGGTAAGCTGTTTGCTGAAGCGAAAAGGTGTTCCTAATGAAAGCGGGCAGGTTTGGGTGTGACCCGGTCACGGTGGCAGCCTGGGGTTGAGCCACACCAATCCCCAGCCCACCAGATGTAAGCCAGTCACGTGCGGCTCTCTATAGTGCCTCCACTGCAAACTAAGATATTTGTGGCTTTTGTCTCCTTTTTTCCTTTTTTCAAGTTTTTGTTTGTTTTTACTTTTTTGTTTTGGTCTACTTTTTATGAGAAGCTTTAAAAAAAAAAACTCGCTTTTTGTTTTTTCTGACCAGCAATGCATACAAAATAGCTTCAGGACTGTCTTGCAAAGTCTTAGGACCTGGAGGCATCTGATGAAAGGGCCTCAGTGTATCAGGAAAACTGGACGACGCTGTCTGATCAGCCGCCCGCCTAACGCAGGTCTTGAGATAAGCAACACAGAACACACAACAGTAATCTTTCTCAACCATCTACTAACAAGGAAGCGCTTCCCGTGCGACGGGTCCTTTTCAGGAACGGTGCATCCAGGGTGCAGGAGGCAGGGGTCCGACGAGGACCAGCAGGGGGTCGGGGGTGCACCCCGACAGGGGGATGCGCTGCAGGTGTCGGCACCGGGCCTCCAGGTTAAGGCAGAGGAGGGGAGTGGCGGGAGGGCGACCCGGGCTCACCTTGGTCTCCACGGTGGGCCCTTCCCTGTAGCCGACCCGCTCCTTGAAGCGGGCCAGGAACGCCGGCTCGGCCGGCCTCACGTAGCACACCTGGTTCCGCTTGCTCATGGCAGCTGCGGGGAATCACCAGCTCTCCCGGAATCGACCAGCCGACCGCGCAGCGGCGCCTCACAGATGACGTGTACCCGGCCCCGCCCACAGAGGGGGCGGAGTCCGGGCCGGTGGGCGTCAACGTCCAGCCCGAGCGCCAAATTCAAACGGGCGGCCATCTTGAGCGGTCGGGATTCCGGCTCGCGGCGCGACTGGGAGGTGGGGCGCGGCGGAGGGTGCCATGGCGCCGGGCTGCAAAAGTAAGTCAGGAGCCTTGGCTTCGTGACCTTCCCCCTCCGGCACACACACACACAGCAGACCCAAGCCGCCTCGGAGGACGCCCGCGGGGTTTCCTGGAGGAGTGAAGGGCAGGAGCCGTCCGAGCGCGCGCACCTTTGGCTCCCTTGTGTCCCTAAGAATGCAGCGGTGGGACCGCCCTCTCCCTTCTCGGTGTGCCGGGAGCCGGGCACGGGCCCGGACGGCCGGGAGGCGCGCTGGGCGGCACCGAGAGCCGTCATCCCGGGCCCCGACCCCAGCCGGCTCTCCGCGGTGCCCCGCCGCCTGCTGCGTGTCCGCCCGCTGCTGGCTTTTCCCGAGGGCGAGCCTTTCTTTCTCTGCTTGCACGCGCTTCTTTCTCCTTGGAATCGCCTCTCCGTAGTAGTACTTGGGACAGTTTCAAAGCGCTGATGGCAGCTTCCCTGGCATGCATCCTTGTTGTAACATGGTTTTTTTTCTTCCTGTGTAGAGCATGCATGTCTGTGATACAGTTCGCACTGTAGATTAAGCACAATAAGAGATAAAGGACGATGATAAAGCAGAGCAGTTCACAGTTTGCTGAAATCTGTGCGCTCACCATGATCACTGCTGTGGTGTGTTGGGGTCATTTCTGAGCGAAAGAGGCGTGATCGGAACGCAGGGCTGTGGTGTGGTAGCCACGCAGAAGGCCCTGGCAGGGTTGATCTCCGGGTTGGCAGGTGGCTGGGAGATTGAATCCCACTGCTCAGAACCGTGCGGTCTTAAGCTTAGGGGTCGCGTATTTTTGCAACCTTCCAAGATAAAACTGTGGATAAAAGGAAGCTGCTGTGTATTCTCACAACCTCTGTTCCCACTTCAGGATGTTAGAGTCCGGGCCAGAGCTCCCCGCCCGGACACTAGGGTGCGAGCTAGTCAACCCCCAGAAAACGACAAAGAGTCTTGCTGGTAATGCAAAAAGCAGAGTTTATTGTGCCAGCATGCATCGTACTTGGGGCACACAGGCCAGCCAAGTGGATCGGAGATTATATACCCGGTCTTGGCTGTAACATATATCAAAGTCAACTCAAAAGTAACAAATTTAGGTGCAAGCAGTCTGTTCCATTCTCACACTCATTATTTACGGCTCCTCCCATCCTGACACCCTTATCTTTTATGGCTCCTCCAGTCTTTTATGGCTCCTCCCGACCCTGGCTCTTCCATCCCTGGGCCCAGGGAACTGTGCCCCTGTCTTCCTGCACCTGGGTTAGATGGTAGATAAAAAAACAATGGAGACAGATTGATCACTAAAGTGGAGCTTTCCCACAGTTCAGGCGCCTTCTGACCTAGCGAAGTAGTGGCTTCTCACCCAAAAGGGCCTAATATCACCTAACACTAATATTCCTAGCATTCTAACATACTAACATTATACCAACACTCTAACAAGGATAATCCTTCGCAGAGCACCGTCCTCTGTATTCTTGACAGTGTCTTTGCTTCTGCCTGATTTGCAGTCGTCTGCTGTCGCTGCGAGCTCTTGTACCATGTCCGGTTCTTTAAGGGCTGCCATTGGAACTGGTAGAGAACCCATCTGACAGCCTGGTCTGCGTATGTTCAGACTGGCATGAGAGGCCCAGGTTAGAGGACTTAGGGAAATGGCCAACTTCCAGCATTTGTATTTCCCAGCAGTATTACTGCTTGCAGCCCTCTGTGAATTGGCATTATCTTCTGATGTTTTGTTATTCATTTTTTTAGTTGATCACATTATTATCCGAATACTTCACGATGTTCTTTTTCCACCAGGAATAGCCCTTTGGTCCATTTTCAGTGTCCAGAGAACGTGAGTGTAGAAATTGGCACTGCATTGGATAGAAATGTGTGTTCTGCTCTCTGCCCAATCACAGTGTCTTTACCTCCAGTTGGTGCGTCCGTGCCGCACTGGTGTGAGCCGCAGTCAGAACACCTGGTTAGTTAGTGGAAGGTGGTGTGATCCGCTGGTGACTGCCCTGCCTGTGAACTGAACTTCAGAATGTGTCTAGAGGTGATGGGACAGTGGCAGTGTCCTGGGGCACAGGCCAGCTCCTGTCCATTCCTTAGCAGAGCTTGATGACAGCCTAGGTCAAGTCTTCCTACCTTCCCAGCTGCCCTGAAGGCCAGCTGTGTTGCGGGTGAGGCTTACATGTAGCAAAGGGCTTGAATCCCAAGAACTCTGTTTATCAGATTTATGTGTGTGAATACACTGGTGTAACCACTACCTGGATCAGGACATGGAACTATTCCTGGATCTAGAAAGTTCCCTGTGGACCTCCCAGTCGGCACCTGCTACACATGCCCACCACATCTCTGGTTTTTGTTTTTTTTTTTTATCACCCTGATTGGTTTTGCTTAGTCTTGGCCCTCCTGTAAACAAAATAGTGTGTGGTAGTTTTCTGTGTTGTTGTCTGTGTTGGTGGTTTTCTATGTTGTTGTCTGTGTTGGTGGTTTTCTATGTTGTTGTCTGTGTTGGTGGTTCTCTATGTTGTTGTCTGACTGTTTTCACTGGACGCGAGGTTGTGTGAGCATTGTCTGTTTACACTGCCACGGTGCGTTGTTTCTCATAGTCACGTTGTGTCCCGTCATGTCAGTACAGCACGCTTGTTGAGTCTCCCAGGATGGACACTGGGTTTCCAGCCGCTGAGGATAATCCTCAGCATGCTTTAGGCAGACACAAATTTATTTTTATTTGTTATTTTACTGCAGGCTGACAGCAGGAGAGAAATCTTCCACCTGCTGATTCACTCCCCAAATGGCTGCAGCAGCCAGACCAAGCCAGACCAAAGCCGGGACCCAGGAGCTCCACATGGGTTGAAGTCCTTGGGCCATCACTGCTGCCATTCCTGGGCAGGCATGAGCAGAAAGCTGGGACGGAAGTAGAACTAGCTGTAGGACTCCAGCCAGGCTGTTTGACATGGGATGAAGGAGTCCCAGGTGGTCTCTTCCACCCACTGTGCCAAGCACCCACCTCTCTGTAATTTTTAATATTACTGTCTCTCACTGTTAGCTAATTAGCTCTCCCCTCCCCCCTTTTTTTTTTTTTTAGTTTTTGCGTAAACATTTTGTTTGGAATCCTGGGCTTAAAGAAAGCTTGTATACATATGCAGAGGAGTGAGTATCTGTGCTATTACAGAGATAGCTTGCTGTCTCGGATTGTCTTACTATGCTGATTCTACCTGCTAACTCCCAACTGCGTTCCCTCAAATCAGCCAGACCACCAGGCTGCTTGACATTCCTTGGGCCTCAGTATCCCTAGACAACCCCAGGGCGATCTGACAGCCACCTCTGTCCCATCTCTGGTAGCACTCGCCTGTGCTGTCTGTCGGCCAATGAACCTGTGGCAGGCAGGAGTTTTGGTGAACTTGTCTGAGCAGCACACACACTTGGGGTAGACATTGACTTCCTGTGTGTTGGTTTGTTCTAAAGAATCTTACAGAAGGTGAAGAGGTGGGTGAACAGGGCAGGGCATGAGGGAGTGTCCTGCCACTCTCCTAGAAACTCCAAGGCTTTCCTGTCTGGAAGCTCTCCCACCCCTGTCCTCCTGGGCTCTTAGGAAAGCTTTGTTATGGGGCCTTTACCCATGAGCCTCTTGTCACCCTCTCATCCGCGCTTGGCCTGTCAGGTGACCAGCCCTATCCTGAAGCTACCTAGGCCTTGCCAACCAGTAGTCCCTAAGATTTGCATACTGGGAAGTGGAGCTGAAGACCACTGTATACATTGCCCATGGTCCAAGCATGTTTCTGAGTGTTGGGTGACCATAGTTAATCATCTGAGGAAGCGCCAGGCTACTCTGCAAAGCAGCTAGAACATCTTCCATTCTGCCTGCCTCTCACCTTGCCCACCTCTATCCGACTGCTTCATTGCAGCCGTTCTGGTGTGTGTGCAGTGGGGGTCTTACTGCTTTGGATTCACATTTCTCTGATGACTCAGTGACACGGAGCATTTTTCATTCTCGTCTTGGCCATTTGTATGGGTACTTCACAAAGGCCATGGAAAATGCAGTTAAACTTCTCTCAGTGTGCAGCTTTTGAAACCTGTGGCATAGCTTTTTCTACAAACTCTTTGAAGACCCCACCATATGCATGGATTCCTAAAGTATTTTTGTACCAGAATTAACTTTTAGCTCTATTTTTCTTCACCTTTTTGATGTAAGTTAGTATATCCATTTTATGCATTTGTATTTTTTTTTAAAGATTTATTTATTTTTATTGGAAAGTCAGTTCTACAGAGAGAGAGACAAAGATCTTCCATCTGCTGGTTCACTCCCCAAGTGGCCGCAATGGCAAGAGCTGAGCCAGTTCGAAGCCAGGAGCCTCTTCCAACTCTCCCATGCGGATGCAGGGTCCCAAGGCTTTGGGCCATCTTCTACTGCTTTCCCAAGTCACAAGCAGGGAGCTGGAAGGGAAATGGAGCAGCTGGGACACTAATCAACATTTATATGGCATGCTGGTTCTTGCAAGTGGACGATTAGCTGGTTGGGCCATTGTGCCAGCCTCAATTTTTGTTTTTAGCAGAGAAATATATATTAATATTAACTGCAGTCACCCTGCTGTGCAGTATAACCCCCAGACCTGTTAGTTTTATCAACTGTAGTTTAGTACCCATTAATCCATCGCTATTATGCATTTAGTTTCTGTGAAATCACCTTTTCTGTTTTGTTTTTTTAGATTGCACATGTAAGCAGCATCATGTGATACTTGTCTTTAAGTGCATGGCTCATTTTCCTTAGCTGGTCATCTCCTCCAGTTCTAGCCACACAGTAAATGACTTTATTCCTTGCTTTTGTAATGGCTGAATAGTATT